ACCTGTTAAAATTATACCTGTTGCTTAATTACAATATTTCTGGTAACCATAGCATAGGACAAGGGAAAATAAAAAAAAAAAAACAAAAACAAAAACAAAAAAACACAAAAAAACAAAAAACAAAAAAAACTACAAACCTGTCTGCTGGTCACTTCTTCTGTCCAAGCAGATCCGTGGTCTTTCCTCGCTTCTCTCAAGGGCTTCCCTGTGCCAAGCGAAGGAGGCTCCAGACAGCATCCGGGTTTTGCACTGTTTCTCCCATGCTTGTGAGAGAGGTCCCAGGATGCTGGTGCAAGACAGTTCACCTCAACGGGTGGGTTGAAGAACGCTTCCTTGCCCTGGCAAAGTCTGGAATGTAGTTGGTACCACCTGGCCCCCTTCGACCTCTGGGTGGGGCAGCTGGAGTCCACGGGGGAGGGGGATGGCCTGACCCCACCCCCAGCCCTCCCAGTGACCCAGTCACAGTGCTCATGTATGGAGAGTCAGCTCAGCAGGCCTCCCCACCAGTAGGGCTTCCACTTGGCTGAGGCTGGAGGGCAGATGGGAGGCCTGTCATCTCACATCTCAGAATGTGTGAGCTGCACAGGTAGACCCCAGGGACCCCAGAACCACATACAACAGTCCACTGGGTCCCTTCTAGGAGGTAGCAAAGACTCCAGAAACATCCCTTTCTCTCCTCCCCGTCCTACGAGTAACTGCATTTGCTTTTGTAATTCTTAATGAGCAATATCTGCTAGAGGTTAGCCGTAACAGTTCTTTTCGATCGTTTTTTTTAAGTAATTAAAAAAAAAACACCAAAAAAAAAAAACCCAGAAACTTGTTCTTCCAAAGCAGAGAGCATTATAATCACCAGGGCCAAAAGCTTCCCTCCCTGCATCATTACTTCTGAGGCCTGAACCAAAAGAGAAACGCTCATAAGCCCTTTGGGTGGCCAGGCTACCCGTGGGCCTCTCGGAGGACCTGGGCTGGGGCAGCCTCTGGGCCCAGTGTGGGGCCCGCTCCAGCCTGCGCTCAGTATTAGCGATGGGTCACGTCGTCCTTTCCCACCCAGCCTGGGACGGGGGCAGAGGAGGCGAGGAGGCTGTTGCTGCTGCTGTTTGCCACTAACAGGTTGGTGTCCACATGTGTCCACGTGTGTGCTTTCTGACGGAAGTGTGAAATCAGCGCCCAAGTTAGCCTCACCCAGTGACCTCTCGCCCGCCTGGACGGAGCAGGGCCCACCCAGTTGAGTGTTTCTGGGGAGCTGGACGGTGGAGTGCGAAAGGCTTGCAGAACTTGAAGCCTGCTCCTTCCCTTGCTACCAAGGCCTCCTTTTCCGTTTGATTTGTCACTGCTTCAATCAATAACGGCCGCTCCAGAGTCAGTAGTTGATGAATATATGACCAAATATCACCAGGACTGTTACTCAATGTGTGCCGAGCCCGTTCCTCGCGCTGGGCTCCCGTGTACCCGGACACTGTAACGTGTGCTGTGTTTGCTCTCCTCCCCTTCTCCCTCATCCTTCCATCGTTTTTCTGGGGTTTTTCTGTTTGGGTTTGGTTTGGTTTTTTATTTCTCCTTTTGTGTTCCAAACATGAGGTTCTCTCTACTGGTCCTCTTAACTGTGGTGTTGAGGCTTATCTTTGTGTAATTTTTGGTGGGTGAAAGGAAATTTGCTAAGTAAATCTCTTCTGTGTTTGAACTGAAGTCTGTATTGTAACCATGTTTAAAGTAATTGTTCCAGAGACAAATGCTTCTAGACACCTTTTCTTTACAAACAAACGAATTTGGAGGGAGGGGATGGTGACCAAGATGAGAGGGGCTGTCCTTTTTCCCCAGGAGGGGAGATCCGAAGAGATGACCCCTGCCCAGATCAACCAGATGCCACCCAAAGAAGTTAAGCCTAAGCCAACGGACCAAATAGCTGATGTGTTGCCATTTTCAAAGTCAGAGCAAAACCAGGTTTGGTTCCACCCAGTGGATTCTGTTGCCTTCCCCCCCCCACCCTGAGATTATTAGCATCATCCTTCTTTTTAAAGCCAGACCAGGTTGATGTTCCTTTGAAGGGAGACAGGAGGGGTGCAAGCAAAGCCGACCTTGCCTCCGCGGGAGGAAGATAGGGCAGGCCTGAGGAGCAGAGCTCAGAGGAAGGGTGGTCATCTCCCTGGAGACCTCTGCTGTGGCCACAGGTCAGTGTATGTTGACAGGGCAGACTGGCCCCTCTCCACCTGACGCAGCGCTTCCTGGACAGGCCAGGTGGTGGGCATTACCGTTCAGCACACGCCCATCACATCCCACCCAGTACCATCCCAGAGTACATCCAACATTGACATGACCTCTAGATTCTTCACCATCCTGGGTGATAGGACGATGGTGGAGGAGGTGCACTCTCTTTGCCGTCCTCTGACCCCCAGGAAAATCTGAGCGTGAGAAACCCCCCATCCCTTCCCTTGGCAAAACCAGATCCTTCTGAGCAAAGCCGTTACCCCCACCAGACATTGTTTTGGGCTCACGGAACAGGGACAGATGTGTGCTCCCTTAGCACCCAGCCCCCCCCCCCCCAAAGGCGAAGACAATGCTGAGTGTCATGACTATTTGCACATGGGTTTAGTATCAGGAAGGAACTGGGCAGGGTAGCTGCCCCCTCCTGAGTCACAGTGACCCCGGCCACCCTGGACCGAGGGTGGGAGAGAGGCGTGTGTGGGACAGGGAGCAGCCCAGGACAGACTTGGCTAGAGATGTCTCCAAAGCCCTCCATCACATTCACCTTCAGTTTTTGTGTTTTGGGACAATTACTTTAGAAAATAAGTAGGTCGTTTTAAAAACAAAAAATATTGATTGCTTTTTTGTAGTGTTCAAAAAAAGGTTCTTTGTGTATAGCCAAATGACTGAAAGCACTGATATATTTAAAAACAAAAGGCAATTTATTAAGGAAATTTGTACCATTTCAGTAAACCTGTCTGAATGTACCTGTATACGTTTCAAAAACACCCCCCCACTGAATCCCTGTAACCTATTTATTATATAAAGAGTTTGCCTTATAAATTTACATAAAAATGTCCGTTTGTGTCTTTTGTTGTAAAATCAAGTGATTTTTTCATAAGGTTCTTTTACTATTTGAAAAGATGGGCAGCACGCAGTTTTATTTTATTTTTGTAAGTTTTTTAATACGTGTGAAAGCAAAGAATACTCAGCATGCCTTTCTAAGTGACGCGTTTGCACCTTTTGTTGGGAAGTACTGTATCCTGTGCTGTTAGCATTCTCGATAAATCTCTCTGTGAAAGTGACTCAAGGTCTGGGCTTTCATTATCAGACAGCTCACAGGACAGCACGGTGCTGTGTTTCCTGATTCCGTCTGGCTGTCCCTGAACGCAAATAGCCAGCCGCTTTCAGGACTGCCTGGGGAGGAAAGACCAGCCTGCTGCACACACGGCCTCCTCTTGGGTTGCAAGGTACACTTTCTAGGTGCACTGCTGCAGCGTGCGATGGGGAGCTGTGGGGGGCAGGCGGGGCCGGAGCCGGCCCGGGTCTGCCCGCCGTGCCCCAGGTCCAGAGGCCAGCGGGCTGCAGGCCGTCCACACAGCAGCCTGAATTCCCTGCTCCCGTGGGCCATGGCAGGGGCACGTCGTCTGTCTTCTGTCCAGGTGCTTTTGGAAACAGCAGCCATCTCCCAGCTGTGGCTTCTCCTGGGCCTGTGGCCCGAGACCTTTGCATGGCCTCTGCTCACCCGGCTCCCTGCCACTGTCATCACCGTGGGGTCTGCAGGCCTTCTGCAAACCTGGCACTCAGGAGCTGTCCGCCCCACCACAGCTGTTGTCGCCGGGCTGTTGCTGGGCTGGAGGGAACAACTGCTCAGAGTCCAGCTTCACATGCAAATAAATGTGGGCACAGCTGCTAGAAGGTGCATTCGAATGTCCTGGCCTTGAAGGTTCAAACGAAGGGTTGAAATTCGACCTGTGCGTGTTGAGCATCTCGTGTGCTGCGGGGCCTGGCCTGGGAGCCGCTGTCCAGCAGCGGAGGAGGACAAGGCTGCCGTTGCCCCGAGCTCGGTGTGTGCGTGCATGCTAACTTCCCGAACCGAGTCCGCAGTCTCTGTGACGGCCGTCGTCGTGAGAAGCTACTGGGGCCCAGGGTGTGGCTGGCAATGGCTGTGGCTTCTTGGCGGGGGGGGGGGGGGGGGGGGGCCGTGGAGGGCCAGCTGGGAGCACAGCCTGGAGGGGAGCCCTCTGGTGTCAGGACGGAGGGGGGCAGGCCGGTGACCCGTTGCCTGGCCAGCGGTCCTGCAACTGGAGAGACAAAGGAGGAAGGCGGCGCTGCTGCCTGGGGGGCTCTTCCCCCACCTAGCGGGGAGGCACACAAGGGCAGAGGCTCAGCGGGGCCAAGCCCCAGGGCCCGGGGCTCCCCGCGGAGGCGGCGGGCCTGGGGGCCGAAGTGGCCTGCGGGCGCCTTCAGGGAAATGAGCAAGGAGCAGGGGCGGCCGGAACGGGGGCGCGCGGCACAGCCGAGGGAATGCGCAGCTGCGGAGCCCGGGGGCACGGGCCCGAGTCCCGCGGGAAGACCTGCGCGCGGCCGGACCGAGCCGGGCGCCCGGGGACGCTGCGCCGTGGCCTCGTCACTCGGGGGCCTGCCCGGTGGGCCGGAAGCACGGCGGCAGCGGGAGGGGGCGCTCGGAGCCCGCCGCCCCAGTGCGGCCGCACGTCCCCAAGGGGCCCTCCCGTGCCGCTCCCGAGCGCCGGCGCTAGCCCCTCGACAGGGCCCCGGCACGGCCGTGCACCCCTCGGGGCCCCACTCGGGCCGCCGCCGCCCCCGCCTCCGGGAAGCCCGCCTCGCCGCCTCTTGGCCCAGGGGCGCGGCCGCCCCGCGCACGGCCTGCCCGCGGCGCCCCCGTGTGGCCGAGGCCCGAGGCGGCGGCGGCGGCGGCGGCGGCGGCGGCGGGCAAGATGGCGGCGGGCCCGGGCCCCGCCCCTTCCGCCCCGCCGGGCGCCGCACGAGGCCGGCTTAAAGGGGAAGTGAGTCAGTGTCCGCGGACCCGCCGGCCAAGGCCCGCGCCCGCCGCGGCCTCGAGAGGCCCCAGGAGGCCCGGCCGGCGGCGGCGGCGGCGGCGGCCATGGCCGGTGGGCCGGGCCCGGGGGACCCCGCGGCCCCCGGCGCCCAGCACTTCTTGTACGAGGTGCCGCCCTGGGTCATGTGCCGCTTCTACAAAGTGATGGACGCGCTGGAGCCCGCCGACTGGTGCCAGTTCGGTGGGTGGCGGCGGGCGGGAGACGCCGGGGCGGGAGGCGCGCGGGCCCCGGGCGCCGGGCCTGACGCCTGCCGCCCCGCAGCCGCCCTGATCGTGCGCGACCAGACCGAGCTGCGGCTGTGCGAGCGCTCCGGGCAGCGCACGGCCAGCGTCCTGTGGCCCTGGATCAACCGCAACGCCCGCGTGGCCGACCTCGTGAGCATCCTCACGCACCTGCAGCTGCTCCGCGCCCGGGACATCATCACGGCCTGTGAGCGCGCGGCCCGGCCCCCGCGACCCCGGCCCCCGGGCGCCTCCCACGGGGCTCCTCCTCCCCCCGCCGCCCGGGCCTAACCGCCCTTTCCTTCCCCCGCGTCCCAGGGCACCCGCCCGCCCCCCTCCTGCCCCCCAGCACCAGCGCCCCGAGGCCCAGCAGCCCCCCCGCGCCCTGTGAGGCCGACGTCCCCCGCCCCCGGAAGCTGCCGACGGCGTCGGCGTCCACACTCCCCTCCCCAGGTAAGAGGGCCCGGGTGTCGGGCTTGACGGACCTTTGCGAAGGGCCGCCCTGACCGTCGCCACTGCCGGAGGCCGTCGCCGACCCCGCCTGCCTCTCACTGGTGTCTTTGTGAAGCTTTTCCAGGCTCCCGGACCCATTCTGGGGCTGAGCTCGCTCCTGTCCACAGCCCTGGCATCCTGCAGCCGCCACCGCCGCGTCCAGCCCCTTCCTCTACCAAGGTAGGTGGGTCCCATCCCCAGGGGACAGTCAAGACAAGGAGCAAAAAAATGCTGCTGGGGAGCCCAGGCAGCTCAGGAGGGCCGGCCAGGACGCAGCTGGGCAGGGGGCGCTTGTGACTCTCCGGGGACGGGCACAGAGGCCCCCCCTGCTCCTCCATCTCCTCCCACAGCCCAGCGCAGAGAGCCCAACGTCGCTCCTGCAGGGAGCCCACCCCTCTCCGTTCTGCTGGCCCCTCAGTGAGATCTCCCAGGGCACCCACAACTTCTCGGACGAGCTGAAGATCGGGGAGGGCGGCTTCGGCTGCGTGTACCGGGCGGTGATGAGGAACACGCTGTACGCGGTGAAGAGGCTGAAGGAGGTGGGTGTAGCAGAGCCCCCCACACGCGCACGGAGGCCCTGGCAGCTTGTCCGCACACCCTCACCTCCCCGTGGCCCTCCTTCAGCCCTCTGATCCCCCAGTTCAGGGTCTCCCAGCACCTTGGTTGCGCTGGGCCCAGGACGGGTGGCAGCGAGAGTGGCCATCGAGCCTGGCCGCACGAGCTTCACACTGCCTCCCCGCCCTCATTTTCCTTGGGGGCTGCAGGGGGCAGACCTGGAGTGGACCACAGTGAAGCAGAGCTTCCTGACCGAAGTGGAACAACTGTCACGGTGAGCCAGGGGTACCCCTTCTGTCTGGGAGTGCGGGGAGAGCCACCTGGGGATTCCAGTGGCCTCCAGGACCACCAAGCATGCTACCCGGCTCCCTCAGGCCTGCAGAGCCTGTCAGGCCCAGCCCACCCCCACGACGTCCACATGGAAAGCGAGGTGAAGGCTGGGAGCCAGAGTGGGTCCCACTCTTTCAAGCAGGTTTCGTCACCCAAACATTGTGGACTTTGCTGGCTACTGTGCCGAGAGTGGCTTCTACTGCCTCGTCTACGGCTTCCTGCCCAACGGCTCCCTGGAAGACCGCCTGCACTTCCAGGTAAACTTCCCTGGCCTGGCACGCCTCCCCGGACCTGCGGCACCCGGAGCACCCGGGCGAAGCGGTGGGCACGCAGCCCCGGGCTCTCTGGGCAGGTCCCACCACCAGGCGAGGTCTGGGCTCAGGCTGTGGCCCCTGGCGGGCCCCCAGTTTCCCTGGCACCCCTCCCCATGCTCTGTCCCTGGCCATTCCTGCAGCCCAGGGCACCTGGGTCATGGTGCCTCTAAGAAGGGGGTGACTGACCCGGTGCCCTGACTCACACTTGTCCCTGTTGCAAGCAGAGTGGCTGAAGGGCCTGGTGGTCAGCATCGCCCTTGAATAAAGAGGGCCTGGGGCAGCAGACTGCACCGTCTGGATCTGCAGCTGGCCCTCCTCTTGTGACACCCCCAGGACACACGGGGCACGTCCACTCACAGGACGAGCACGCCATGCTGGGGGAGGTGGGGCCAGTGCCCCCGACCACATCCCGGTCACCCCAGGAACCAGGGGTGAACGCCAAGCACGGAGGAGCGCCCAGTTGGATGATGGCTCCGGGAAGCACGTCCCCAGCCACGGGCCCCTCCTCGGCGTGCCTTACAAAGCACTAGAATAGCTTAGTCTCCACCTTCTGGTGAAGTACCTCGTGGAGATTTTGCTCCTTGTTTTCCAGAAGGGGACACAGGCCCAGAGAGTGGAGTGGCTTCTCTAGATGCCACGGTGACAGGCGGAGGGGCGCTTGGGGTCAAGGCACAGTGGCCTCCCAGCCTCTCCTGTGCCCCTTTGCTCCCTCTGCCTCTCTAGACCGAGGCCTGCGCTCCTCTCTCCTGGCCTCAGCGACTGAACATCCTTCTGGGCACAGCACGGGCCATTCAGTTTTTACATCAGGACAGCCCCAGCCTCATCCACGGAGACATCAAAAGGTGAGGGCCGGACACAGCCAGGCCCCTGGGGCCTCTGGGAGCGGTAAGAGCAGAGACTCCGGCAAGGGAATGATGTTCCCGAATCTTCTGCCAGCAGGCAGCAGTGCCACTTGCTCTCCAAGGCCCAAGGGGCCCTGGGTCACTGAGTACCTGACCCGCTGGGACAGGTGTGGAAGTAGAGGCCAAGGTGGGCCCCGCTGATGAGCAGGGACCAGACTGTGTGAGGGACCCCCCCCCCCGCCAGCCCCCCCACCGCACCCTGCAGCCGGGCCACCAGGCGGCGCCAGCCACTTTCCATGGGCCAGGTGCAGCCCGGAGTCCAGTTTTGTCGGTGCCAGGCGACTGTGGGGTGCAGCGCTGGCCCGGGCCCACCCAACACCGATCCTTCCCTCCGCTAGTTCCAACGTCCTCCTGGATGACAGACTGATGCCCAAACTGGGAGACTTCGGCCTGGCCCGTCTCAGCCGTTTTGCAGGGGCCAACCCCGGCCAGAGCAGCACAGTGGCCCGGACACGGACGGTGCGTGGCACCCTGGCCTACCTGCCCGAGGAGTACGTCAAGACGGGGAGACTGGCCGTGGACACAGATACCTTCAGCTTCGGCGTGGTGAGCCACCGGCCCCTTTCCTGGCTTGGGGTGCGGGCGCTGTGGCCAAGCAAAGGCAGGAGGGCCTGAGTGGTGCCCTCCGAGGCCAGAGAGCGAGCCGGCAGGAAGCTGACTGCGGCGTCAGCTCCAGGGCCCCTCCGTCCCCAACACCGGCCCCTACTGTTGCCCCGCATCTCGGCCCTTCCCTGCAAGTGGCCCTCCAAACCGCCGAAGCGTCAGCCCCATGACACGTGGCTTCATCTTTGCTGGCAGCCAGTCCTCGGCGGCCCATCCAAGGGCCAGGCCCCCGTCAGCCTCGGCCGCCTTGTTGGGCTGGGCGCCCCCGTCCACCCCACAAGCCCCGCCGCACGTGGCCCTCCCCACCAAGGCCCTGGGGCAGCACCATCCCAGGAGGCACTGCGACACTCTCCATCCTGCCCTCTCCAGGTAGTGCTGGAGACCCTGGCTGGCCAGAGGGCTGTGAGGACGCAGGGTGCCAAGACCAAGTATCTGGTGAGCGTCCTGAGCTGGGGCAGGGAGGGACGGAGAGAGGCAGAGTGGAGGCAGGGAAGCGCCACTCCTGATAACCAACAGGTGCAGCCCTGGAGGGTGGAATGATCTGGAGTGCAGTGCCCCACAGAAGCCAGCCCCTGCTACTGCTGACTCATCTCTGGAAGTAGGCAGGGCTCCAGACAGCTTCCCTTGACCTTGCTGAGGAAAAACCTGTCTTTCTTCTGCAGATGCTATGGGCCTTTCCAGCCCCCACCTGGGCTGGGAGTGGGGAAGGGGGGATCCCAGCGGGGCCAGAAGTGCAGGGGAGAAGAGAACACAGGGCCCCGGGGGAGGCTGCGGTGGGAAGTCGGGAGCTGAGGAGCGCTGCAGGCTGGGAGGGAGCTGCCTGGTTCTGTCTGACTCGGTCTGGCTCGCTGTGCGCTGGGACGGGGCCAGGAGGCAGGAGGCCTGGGTTCCGGTCCCGGCCCGACAGTGGTCTTGGAGCAGAGCCCTGCTGGTCGTCGCGGGGCCCGTGGCCCCACATGCTAAGAGGCTTCATGCACCTGCTGTGCTCAGACGATTCCAGGGCCCGGAATGCATTCGGTCAACGTTTGTTCTTTATGTTTTGGGGCTGGTCTACCTCCTGCTGCCCTTGTTCCGGGCTTGGGGCTGTCTCTGTCCGTTAGCGAGGCTCGGAGGGTCAGGGCTGGAACTGGGGAGCCCCCCGGGAGCGCTTCCTTCACCTTCTCCACCCATCAGCACGTCCCATTGGCACAGTGGGTGGAGCCAGGCAGGCTCCCCGGGGATCCCTCTCTGGTCTTCTTTGGACCCTTCCTCTTTGTTCTCCATGCCAGGGCCTAAGCGAAGTTGCAAAACAAACAAGAGATAGTGTGGAAGGCTCTTTGCCTTCCCCCTGGGCTTGGGGTGGAGGCCCGATCCCTTAACCACCACTCCCTGGGTCCCGCCATCACCAGTGTCCTCTGTCCTCCAAGCTCAGCTAGCCCTGCTGCCTGCCCCAGCGCCTTGGTTCGAGCCTTTCCTCCTGCCCAAAAGGCCCCTTCCCACCCAGGTGCTTCCTCCTGGTCCTTCCAGTCTCAAACCACAAGATGGCCTGCAGTCCCGGCTGCACCCCTGGGTACCTCTCTGTGGGGTGCTCCCCCCCCGCCACTCACCTCTGACCTCTGGCCAATTTCTGCCTTCAGATCCCGGTGCCCAGGTTCCTGCGTGCTACTTGTTCAGGCCCTGGTCAAAGCCCTGTGGGCCTCTCCATGGAAGTTTTCTTTCTTTTTCTTTTTGAGATTTTATCGATTTATTTGAGAGGGAGAGTGAGCTAGAGAGGGGCAGGGGGATGAGCAGGGGGAGGCAGAGAGAAGCAGACTCCCCGCTGAGCAGGGAGCCGGGCGTGGGCCTCGATCCCAGCATCGAAGGCAGCCGCTTCACCGACCAGCCACCCAGGCGCCCCTTCCTCGAAGCTTCCCGTTGGTTTCCAGGCTTGTTGGTGTCTCTCCCGCTCCAGGAGGTCAGCTCCGTGAAGGTGGGCCCAGGGTGCTCCATCACTGCACCCCTCGGGCCTGGGGCAGTGCTGGGCACGCCATGGGTGCTTAATCAGTGTCCAAAAAGCCCTCAGGAGTCAGTGATGAGAGCCCGGGGAATGGGGTGAAGACACGGCCCCGTCAGCGGCCACGCTCACAGTGTCTGTCCCACAGAAGGACCTGGTAGAAGAGGAGGCCGAGGAGGCCGGGGTGACCCTCAGAAGCACCCAGAGCACACTCCAAGCAGGCCTGGCCACGGATGCCTGGGCTGCCCCGATTGCCAGCCAGATCTGTAAGAAGCACCTGGACCCCAGGCCCGGGCCGTGCCCGCCGGAGCTGGGCCTGGTCCTGGGCCAGCTGGCTTGCTGCTGCCTGCACCGCCGGGCCAAGAGGAGGCCCCCCATGACCCAGGTAGCCCGGGGGGAGCACTGGAGACTGGCGGCCCCCGGGGCCGGGGGTGGCCCATCAGACACAGCGCTGCCCTGCAGCGAGCCCTGTGTGGCACCTGCCAGGCCTCTTTCTGGGGACAGCGTCTCCAGACGTTTTTCCGTTTGCCCTTCAGTTCTGCTGGGGCGGCCCGAGCCCACCTGGCGGGGCGCGCAGGGAAAGGGCCTCGACGGTGCCCCGTGCTGGGTGCACTGTGCCACTGCACCTGCGTCTCCTGCCCCTCACCTCTGTCCCCTGCCCTCAAGAATGCAGAGGCCCCTGTGAGGGCAGCAGGGCCGTGAGCTTAGCTTCCCAGAGGACAGAGAAGAGCCCTTCTCCGGCCCTGGTTTGAGCGGCCGTGACTGCTCGGCATTCCTCGTGACAGGGCTAAACAGGAGGGATGGAGCTTCCCCGGCTGCAGGGTAGGCCGGCCGCGCGGTCCCTGGGGCCCCTGGAAGCCCAAGCCCCGACACAGGCCACAGGTGACCCGGAGCGGCCCTGTGCCCCGACCGGGGGTGCCGGGGGAGCCCCGCTTGGGCCTGGCGCCCTGAGCCCCGTGTCCCCCCGCAGGTGTACGAGCATCTGGAGAAGCTGCAGGCAGCGGTGGCAGGAGCAGAGGCTGCCCACCACGGCCCCCCTTCCCCGCAGGAGAACTCGTACGTGTCCGTCCCCAGCAGCGGCGCCAGCCCACCGCAGCCCCTGGTGGCTCCATCGGGAGCACCGGCCCAGGCCACGGAGTGGCTCCAGAAAGGCCCCAACCAGCCCGTGGAGAGCGACGAGAGTGTGTCCGGCCTGTCCGCCGCCCTGTGTTCCTGGCACATGAGCCCCAGCTGCCCCCCAGGCCTGGCCTTGCCGGGCAGCCCTGCGCAGGGGGTCACCCTGGGGGCCGTGGCCCCCCTCGGGCAGGCCGGCAGTGCTCGGGGGGGCGCCAGCCAGGAGCCGAGCTGGGGCGGTGGCCCAGGGCCCCAGCTGACAGCTGTGGAAGGTACCTGGGTGCGGGGACCCGGGAGAGGGACCGGGGGCCTCCTTCGCTACGAGTCCCCACACCCCCCACCCCCAGCCTTCCGGGAGGAGAGCCCCGGGCGCCCGCTCTCCATCTCACTCTGTCCTTAGCCGGTTCCCAGCCCTGACCTCCAGGTGGGTGAGACGAGGCCAGGAGCTGACTTCCTGAAAGCCGGGAACAAGGAAGGCTTTATGCGGGACTGGCTTCCTGGCCTAGCCAGGAGCTGGGGCGACAGCCCGGCCCCTCCCAGGCCCTTCCTTCACCGATGGCACTGAGGACTCCTGTCCCAAGGGGGCCGGGAGCTAAGCTGGGGGTGGGAAGAGTGCTGAGGCCAGAAGCGTCACTGAGGACTTCCCAGGGACAGTGGCCGCTGCAGCTGAGAGGGCTACTCCCCCCCTCCCCCGCCAGGATCACTGTTGAGCAGCTCCGCGTCATCGCAGCCACCGCAGATCGTCATCAACCCGGCCCGACAGAAGATGGTGCAGAAGTTGGCCTTGTACGAGGACGGGGTCCTGGACAGCCTGCAGCTGCTGTCCTCTAGCTCCCTCCCAGGTAGCTGGCCCCGGCCCCTCTGGGGCCCCTGCTGCGCCGACGCGCTGCAGCTGGATGGCCGGCCTCCAGGGCCGCTCAGGCATGCGTCCTCGTGCCAGCCCCAAACAGCGGAGGGTTTGTTCCAGCCGGGCCTGCACAAGGCCCCTGCTCCCCGAGGGTGTGGGATGGCTCAGAGGCAGGCCACCCCGTCTAACGATGGCTAGAAGCCCAGCCTGCCCCCCACGCCTCCCTTCGGGAAGCTGTGTATTCTGGACGAGGCCTTGTGCGAGCACCCTCACGTCCCCCTGACAGCAACGCCTCCCCTTAGCCTGGGGCTGCCAGCTGCCCCCGCCCCCTGCTTCCAGAACACACAAAGCCCCAGCGGGTATTTTCCCTCCCGGGGACTAGTGGAAGCAGGGCTGCTTAGGAAGAGAAAGCCCTAATTCCCGAGAATGCCCAGGAGCTGAGAAGGAAGCGCGGCCGGGCCCTCGAGCCAGGAGCCAGGCCTCCCGGCAGCCGGGGGCGCCCCCGTTTCCTAACTGGCATTTCCCCCCTTTGCAGACCTAGGAGGGGAGCACCAGCACAGGCCGCGGCCCGAGGAGAGTGATGAATTCCAGAGCTGATCTGCGCACCTGGCACATTCCCTAAACCTGGAAGTCAAAGTTCTCATAGTCGGAAGTTCTCATGGCTCTCGAATCCTCAGCGGCCCGTGGGCGGTGGGGGGTGGGGGCCGCCTCCTCACAGGGGAGAGCAGGTGCTGGAGCCCCCCAGCTGCTCCAGGGGCGTGGGCACGGGCTGGGCTCGGAGCCACCCCGGCCGGCTGCTGGAAGCTGTCAGTAAGGCAGGACATGTCGTAAGGCCCGCCGTCATTCCATCATTTGGGGGACAGGAAAGCCGTGATCGTTGGAGGGGTGCCGGGGTGTGGGAGGAATGCACGTGTGGGGCTGTGGGCCGCCCGGCCGGGGAGGCGACGTGAGCGGGGTTGCCGGCACGGGGCGGAGCAGGGAGCTGGCTCCCCCAAGAGCTGCGCGGGGCCCACCTTTGCCCTTCTCTTTGCACTTTGGCCAGAGCCCTGGGGACAAGTGGCCGCTCTGTAGAGCAGAGCAAACAAGGCCCGGGGCCCTCCCGGCCCCTCATAATTTGGAAAAGTAAGGTGTGGCCATCCCGTGGTTCAGCTCACCGGCTCGAGTGCAGTTGTAGGACACCGCAGAGAGTCCAGCAGTGCCCCGTCCCCTCTCACCAGGCCACTGTCTGCGGGCTGCACCAGGGACCCGGGAGCTAAGGCTAACGTGACCGCCTGCTGGCCAGGCCACCCCTGGGTGCGCCCACCGACGGCCGCCAAGCCAGGGCAGGCCCCGGAGGCCACTGGGTGTCAGGCCCAGGCACTGATTGTGACAGAGGAGCCACGACCCAAGGTGGGGCTAGGCCCAGACCTCGTGCTACCCAGACTGCGCGAAGTCCCCGGAAGTCGGGCAGGTGGAAAGCCAGACGGGGCAGGGTGGGGGGCAGGAAACAAGACAGGACTCACGCGTGCAAAGCAAGTCCACTTTTGTGCAATTGAGCGTGTTCGAAGGTAGCACAGGCTTACGATGATTTCGTGTCCGCAGTCATGAGTCACACTACATGCCCACGAAGCTAGGCGTTGGTGAAGTCCAAGCTGTCCTAGAGGAATAAAAGCTTACGTTTCAATCTGCGGCTGTGCTTTTGGAGTTTGTTGCACTGAAAGGCCTGAGTGTTTCCGATGCTTTTCAGCTCGGGGTCCTTAACCACGGGGCCCCAGCCACCCCCACCCGCACACAACTGAAAAAAAGTCCTCTGGAGGCTCTTGTTTCCACCCCCATGTATTTTACGGGCTTTGATGCTATGGTGAATGGGATCTTTATTCCATTTTCTTTCCTTCTTTTTGGGTAGGGGGGGCAGGAGGAGAGGGAGAGAGAGAGTCTTAAGCAGGTGCCATGCCCAGCGCGTGAGCCCAACTCGAGGCTCGATCTCACAACCCTGAGATTGTGACCTGAGCCAAGATCGAGTCCAACGCTCGACTGACTGAGCCACCCAGGTGCCCCTATTTCATTTTCTAATTGATCATTGATAGTTTCTGGAAATGTAATTGAGTTTTTAAAATTTATTTATTTTTCTATGAAGATTTTATTTATTTGACGGACCACAAGCGGGGTGGGGGGGGCGGCAGTCAGAGGGAGAAGCAGAGGTAGGCTCCCCGCAGAGTGGGGACGCCCAACACGGCTCGATCCCAGGACCGTGAGATCATGACATGAGCAGAAGGCAGACGTCTACCTGACTGAGCCACCCAGGCGCCCCTGCAATTGAGTTTTTAATAACGGCTTTGCATGTGGTAGCTTCCCTTAGATTCATTTGTTAGCTCCAGCAGGTTTTTGTTTTCAGGTTTTAGTGTCAAAATCAAGGCATGAACCAAGCACTGGTGGTTTTTCACTTTTGTTTTTTTGGGGTTTTGTTTGTTTGGGGTTAACACCTTGGAATAGTTTACATACACGGTCATTTCTTCTGGAAATAAAGGCAGTTACCACTTCTCCAATCTGTATGCCTTTCAGTTCTTTTTCTTGCTTTTTTTTGTTATTATTCATGAGGGACACAGAGAGAGGGACAGAGGCAGGGACACAGGCAGAGGGAGAAGCAGGCTCCATGCAAGGAGCCCGATATGGGACTCAATCCTGGGACTCCAGGATCACACCCTGGGCCAAAGGCAGGCGCCAAACCGCTGAGCCACCCAGGGATCCCCCTTTTTCTTGCTTTATTACAATGGCTAGAGCCTCTAACCAAATGTTGACTAGAAGCGGTGAGAATGCACATCCTTGCCTTGTTCTCAAACTTGGATGCAAAATTGTCTTTCTGTCTTTCGCCATTGCTAATATCTCTTGGGGATTTTTGCATCTGTGTCCATGAGGGGTGTTGACCTACAGGTTTCTGGTAATGTCTATCTGGTTTTGGTATCAGGGCCCCCATGAAACAAATTGGGGATTTTTCCCTTCCCTTTGTTCTTATAGGACTTCTGTATGCTTGGCATCACTTTTAATATTTGATGAGTTCACCAGTGAAGCCACTTCGAGTCGGAGTTTTCTTCGGGGGAAGATGTTTAGTTACAAATTCAGTACCTTTAGGGATGCCTGCCTGGCTCAGTTGGTAGTGCATGCAACTGTTGATCTTGGTTCTAAGTTTGAGCCCCGTGTTCGGTGCAGAGACTATGTAAAAATAAAAATTTTAAAGTAAATTCTTTCAGATATTTGGACCATTTGGATTTTCTCTCTTCGTGTGTCTGTTTCAGTAATTTGTGTCTTTCAAGGAATTTGCCTGTTGCATCTAAGTTGACATAAAGTTAATAATACCCCTTTATCATCCCTTTATAGGATCTGCACTCCTGTCCCCTGTCATTCCTTCTATTGGTATTTTCTGTCTTTCCTTTTGTCTTGATCAGCCTAGATAGAGGCTTATCGACTTTATTGGTCGTTCTAAAGAATCAAGTTTTTTTTAAGATTTTATTTATTTATTCATGAGAGACACAGAGAGAGAGAGAGTCAGAGACACAGGGAGGCCAATGTGGGACTCGATCCCGGAACTCCAGGATCAAGCCCTGGGCCAAAGGCAGGCGCCAAACCACTGAGCCACCCACGGATCCCAAGAATCAAGTTTTTGTTTCACTGATTTTTCTCCATCACTTATCCATTTTTCTATTGATGGTTTCCACCCTTTATCCTTTACTTTACTTATTTTGGAGTAATAAAACTTATTTGCAGGGCATCTGGGTGGCTCAGTGCTTTAGCACCTGCCTTTGGCTCAGGGTGTGACCCCGGGGTCCTGGGATCCAGTCCGACATTGGACTCCCTGTAGGGAGCCTGCTTCTCCCTCTGCCTGTGTCTCTGCCTCTTTCTCTGTCTCTCATGAATAAATAAATAAAACCATTAAAAAAAGAGAAGTCATGCATTTTAAAAAGATTTTACTTTAAAATAAAAATACATAAAGGGGATCCCTGGGTGGCTCAGTGCTTTAGCACCTGCCTTTGGCCCAGGGTGTGATCCTGGAGTCCCGGGATCCAGTCCCACATCAGGCTCTCCCCATGGAGCCTGCTTCTCCCTCTGCCTGGGTCTCTGCCCCTCTCTCTCTCTCTCTCTCTCTCCTTTCTGTCTCTCATGAATAAATAAATAAAATCTTTAAATAAAATAAAAATAAATAAAACCTATTTGGGGCTTAATTTCCTCATCTTTTCCAACTTCTTAAAGTATGACCTTAAATCATTTATTTTATTTTACTTTTTTAAAGATATTTTACTTATTTATTCATGAGAGAGGCAGAGACACAGGCAGAGGGAGAAGCAGGCTTCACGCAGGGAGCCTGATGCGGGACTCGATCCCAGGACCCCAGGATCATGCCCTGAGCTGAAGGCAGACACTCAACCGCTGAGCCACCCAGGTGTCCCCAAATCATTTATTTTAAATCTTTTTCTTGTGGTGCCTGGCTGCCTCAGTCAGGGGAGCATGTGACTCTTGAGCTCAGGGTCATGAGCTCAAGCCCCACATTGGGCATGGAAACGACTTAAAATCTAAAAAAATAAACCTTTCTTTTTCTAACATAAGCATTTAAGGCTATAAATCGCCTTTGAGAACATCTTTAGCTTCATTCTATGCATTTGGATATGTTCTATTTTCAATATCATTGAGTTCATAATGTTTTCTGATTTCCCTTGTGATGACGTCTTTAAGCAATGACTTCCTTAGAAGTGCATTTAATTTCCAAATATTTGTAGATTTTGCCTCTATCTTTCTGTCGTGTGTGTGTGTGTGTGTGTGTGTGTGTGTTTTATTGTAGTACAGGGAATTTACTTGGTCTGATTTCATTTCTTTTAAAATTATTGAGACTTGTTTTATGGCTTAGCATATGGTCTGGCTTGGTGGATGTTCCATGTTTATTGGAAAAGAGTGGGTATTCTGAGTTGGGTGGTATATTCTATAAAAGTCGATTTGCTCAAGGTGGTTGAGAGAGTTGTTCACGTCTTCGGTATCTTTACTGATTTTCTCTTCCAGGTCTCTCTGGCAGACTGAGAGAAAAGTATCACAGTCTCCAAATGTGGTTGTGGATTTGTCTTTCTCCTTCTGATCCTGTCAGATTTTGCTGCATCAAATTTGAAGATCTCATGGGTGCATACACATTTGGGACTGTTATGTGGCTTTTTTTTAAAGATTTTATTAATTAGGAAGAGAGAGGGTGAGAGAGCACAAGCAGGGGGAGTGACAGGGGAAGAGGGAGAAGCAGGCTCCCTGCTGAGGGGGGAAGCACAACGCTGGGCTGGATCCCAGGACACTGAGGTCATGACCTGAGCTGAAGTCCCACATCTAACTGACTAACTCTACCACCCAAGTACCCTGGACCATTGCGTTTTCTTCATAGATTGAGTCTTTTTTTTATTCTGGAAATATTTCTCTCTATCTCTGGTAATGATCCTTCTTTTGACATCTGCTTTGTCTGGTACAGCCCCTCCAACTTCCTTATGCTTAGTTTATTTCTTGATGGAACTTTTTTCTGTTCTGTTCTTTTAACTTGTCTGTCTTTTTTTTAAAGATTTTTAAATGCATTTATCCATGAGAGAGGCAGAGACCCAGGCAGAGGGAGAAGCAGGCTCCCTGTGGGGAGCCCCATGCGGGACTGGATCCAGGGACCCCGGGGTCACACCCTGAGCTGAAGGCAGACGCTCGGCCCTTTGTCTGTGTCTTTATCTGAAATGCATCTATCGACAGCATGAGGTTTGGTCTTACTTTTTTAATCTCTGCCTTTTAATTGGTCTCTTTAATCCATTTACATTTAATGGTCGGGTTTAAGTCTACCATCTTGCTATTTGTTTTCTGTTCATCCCATCTGTTCTCTGTTCCTTTTCTCCTCCATCCCTGACTTCTTCTGGGTTCATCACATGTTTCTGGTCTTCTATTTGTTTCCTCCACTATTGGCTTGTTAGCTCTAATAACGGAGACCACGGATTCTCCTCAGGAGACTCCTTCCTGCACCATGATCTGAAAAGTGCCTTGAGGCAGAAGTCCAGGCTGCTCACTGGGGTCACTACATTTACTTCCCTTCTCATCACAGCCTGGCACTGCCAGTTGTTTTCAAAGTTTTGCCTAGTATGTGAGTTGTTCACAAGCAGAAGGCTATTCTGGTATTTGTTATCCCACTGTGACCAGAATGCCAGGTTTGTCTGTTCTGAGCGATTGTTCACTCCTCAGGTCACTCCATCTTTCTCCTGCATCATCAGGCATGTCCCAGTAGCATCCATTCTTGAAGAACTCCTTTGACCCAATACCTCTCCCCAGTCACAACCCTGATTCTTTGTTCCTCTTGAAACTGTTTTATTTTATTTTGGGGGAGAGGGAGGGGCAGAGGGAAAGGGAGACAGAGAGACTCTCAAGTGGACTCTATGCCCAGTGTGATGCCCAACATGGGACTCAATCTCACGACCTGAGCCAAAATCAAGAGTTGGATACCAGGGGCACCTGGGTGGCTCAGAGGGTTAGGCATCTAACTTTGGCTCAGGCCATGATCCTGGGATCGAGCCCCATGTAAGGCTCCACACTCAGTGGGGAGTCTGCTTCTCCCTCTGCCCTTCCCCACACCTGTGCAGTTGCTCTCTCTCACTCATTCTCTCTCTCTCTCAAATAAATAAATAAAATCTT